AATTAACTTTAATTAAATTAAAATAAATTAGAAAAAAATAAACTAAAGTAAACTAAATAAAGCTAAAAAATATTTAATTAAAACAATATCTGGAAGAGTTTGCAACATGCATATAAATATACATATATAGTAAGTTACTTTGGTATACCAAACCACACTGCAAATTTAGCACCAATCAAGCAGACAAGTGTACGACATCACAACCAGCCTTTAATAAAATCCCACCACAACTCAACTCAGCATAGCAGGGCAACGGAAGTACGCAGTACTTAGTAAGAACTGCTCAAACTCTCGATAACCAAAGGAAGTACATAAGTCAGTGAATAAATGCTAAGTTATCGCTTCGCGGCAATTGTGAATTTAAGCGTTCCGGAAGCCTCTAAGGCGTATACGAAAATTTAACTCTTTGACTTTGACGCTGTTGTTGGCTACTCGTATGGGGCGCTATAACCTATTTGAACTCTAGCTTCCAAGCGCAGGTATAAAATACACACTGGAAACGAGAGTAGCATACAGGCAGGGGAAGAACGACTAAAGGGAAGAGCCGAAAGACAGTCATTAGTAAAGTAATGCGGGTAAATATTATAAATGCTGTCATTTAGAACGTGATCGGCCGTATGTACGTATGTGTACAAACACATAGTACAGGCACATACAAATTCAAGCCTTTTGCGTTTTTGGCGCACGTGGCGTCGCTCAAGTTGGTAAGCAAATGACGTTAATGACATGCCACGCAGAGGAAGCAACAAAAGCAATACAAGTCACTTGGCGAAAAAAGCAGCAAAGGAGTGAAATTGTATAACAGCAAAGCATTAACAACAGTTGTAGCTAAAAGGCAAGCCAATTTCGTTGTTAATATACAACAGCTGGATCGCAAAAAGCAGCACACTTGCACTCACAAACTCTCGCATGTATGTGTGTAAGTGCGCCCGAGGCTAAAGTGTGACATTAGGATATTGTCGGCAGCAGTTGCTTGCAGCCTTTTGGGTCGTAGGAGCAACAGCAGCCGCCAATTTGTCTTACTTTTTTGCGGTGTGGCGCGTATGTACCACGTCATACAGCGGTTTTTAGTTATTACAATAACTCTTTGAGTTTGACACTTGCTGCTGTCTCGCTGTGAGTAATGTCAAGTACTACGTTTGGGGTTCAGTGCAAATTTCGTAGAATATCGATATGCAGGTTTTTGTTTTTAAGCAGGCAGATGTCCGTATGTATGTTATTAGGCATATTATTGTCAAATATAATTCTAAAGTATTATGCAA